AAACCAGATTTGAAGGAACCAGTGATGTCAAACAGTCAAAGTTGCAAATAGTTCTGTCAGAGTTCGAAGCTCTCAGAATGACTGAAGACGAAACCATTTCTACCTTCCATAGTAGGGTTCAGAACTTGATGAACCGAGCCTCAATTCTTGGGGAACCATTCACTGATGAGAGAGTGGTCAAAAAGATTCTCAGATCCCTACCTAAACATTTTCAAATGAAAGTAACGGCTATTCAGGAACACACATGTTGGGAAAAGAAGACTGTCGGAGAACTCATGGGAAGCTTGCACACATATGAACTGGAAGTTCTTGCTGATGATGATGTTGGAAGCAACAAGAAAGGAAAGTCTGTAGCCTTTGTGGCTGAAGCTAATCGAGAATCTGACACAGACGACATAGATGATGAAACCCTAGCTCTCCTAACCAAAAACTTCAAGAAAATCTTAAAAGGGTTCAACAGAAAGGGTCAAGGTCAGTCTACAAGAACACAATACAAAGGCAACAACCCTTCATATCAAAAGGTTGAAACAGCACCCTTCTCACAGAACAATCAATCTCAGACTGGGCGATCGAGACAAAATAGAAATAGTGCCACAGACACAGGAAAACCCCTCAATCGGTCAGTGCAGTGTAAGGAATGTGAAGATACGGTCACATACAGGCTGAATGTGCAACATATCTTAAAAGGAAAAAGGCTATGTTTGTAGCTACTCTTAGTGATGATGAGGAGGAAAATTCAAATGATCAATCAGATGATAATGTAGGAAACTTTGTAGCGTTCTTCACTGCCACAAACATTCAATCAGACGGAGATCAATCAGATGGAGAATCATACATATCAATAGATGATTTTGAAGAGAGACATATTCAACTTGAGGCAGAATTTGCAAAACTTGTCGCTAGCTGGGAACAACTTGTGAAAGTAAATAAGAATCTGAATGACGATCTAAAGCAAAAAGATGATCTTATAAAGAAACTGAATGCTGAACTGGTCATAAAAGAAGATCTCATCACTCAGATACGGTCCAGAGAAGGTAAATTAATCAAGGAGTTGGAAAGCTTGAAGAAAAATATACAGATGATGGACACCGCATCTACCTTAGATAAAATTCTACACTCTGGCAGAAACCCTAATGATAAAAAGGGTCTGGGATTTGAGCAAGGAGAATCTTCGAACAACGCACCAAAGTTCATCAAAGAGGGAATGTCTAAGACCACAGCATATCACAGGTATGAACAAGGACAGTCATCTCAGTCAGTACAAATCAAGGAAAGGAGATACGGTACTAACACTGACCAGGACAAATCAACTTATCAATCTCATTATTCGAGATTCAAAAATAAGATTGTCAAAGTTAAATATTATACTCCCATTTGTCACTACTGTCACACAAAAGGTCATACTCGTCCCGAATGCTATTTTTTCTACAGAGATCAAAGGAAGGAAAAATATCAGAATAAGACTATTACATCATTCACTAGACAGGTTTGGGTCAGAAAGTCAGAAGTTATCTGTTATCCCACCATTGTTTTAACTGCATCTACAACTGATGCTAAATGGTATTTTGACAGTGGTTGTTCCAGACATATGACAGGAAACATTAAATGTCTGATGGCTGTTCAACCTAGCAGTGGAGCTGTAACATTTGGAGATGGACAAAAGGGTAAAATCGTTGGGAAAGGTGTCCTAAATGTTCCAGGTTTACCTCAATTAGAAGAAGTCTTGCTAGTCAGTGGATTAAAAGCAAATCTTATTAGCATCAGTCAGTTATGTGATCAAAATTGGAATGTATGCTTCGATCGTAACTGCTGCAGAGTGAGTGACAAAGCAAATCAACTTGTCATGGAAGGAACTCGGTCTTCAGACAACTGTTATGTTTTGACAAATGAAACTGCTTGTCACCTATCCAAATCTGATGAATCAAAACTCTGGCATAGAAGACTGGGTCACATAAATTTCAGAGATATGGATAAGTTGATAAAACTGGAAGCAGTAAAAGGTGTACTGAAGATCAGAATTGATCCAGAGAAAATTTGTGGCGCATGTGCTATTGGGAAACAAATCAAAACTCCACACAAAGCAGTAAGAGGTATCACCACTGAGAAATGTCTAGATCTTGTCCATATAGATCTCATGGGGCCAACACAGACTGAAAGCATTGGAGGAAAGAAATATATATTTGTGTGTGTAGACGATTTCTCTCGATACATCTGGGTTTACTTTCTGAGAGAAAAGACAGAAGCCTTCAAGGCCTTCAAGACTCTGTGCATAAGAGTTCAGAAGGAAAAAGATGAGTCTATTATAAAAGTTCAGAGATTGAGGAGTGATCATGGAAAGGAATTTGAGAACTCACTATATTCAGACTTCTGCTCCGAGCATGGTATCTCACATGAGTTCTCAGCTCCTAGAACTGCTCAACAGAATGGAGTGGTGGAAAGAAAGAACCGAACGCTACAGGAAATGGCTAGAGTTATGCTACATGCCTCACATATGCCACAACGTTTCTGGGCTGAAGCAGTACACACAGCGTGTCATACTATAAATAGGGTCTACCTTAGACCAGGAACGACGAAAACTCCATATGAGATCTGGAAGGGAAAGAAGCCAAATCTGAAATACTTTCATGTGTTTGGGACAAAGTGCTATGTGCTGGCTGACAGAGAACAAAGAGGGAAGTTCGAACCCAAAAGTGACGAGAGCATCTTTCTTGGATACTCTCCGAACAGTCGTGCCTACAGAGTCTACAACAAGATGACTCAATCTGTGATGGAGTCAGTAAACGTGGTTGTCGATGACAATCCAGAAGAACCAGTGGACTCAACAGTGATAGAGTCACCTCTACGTGATTCAGATGCAAGTAATAACAACAGTCAGCTCAAACCACAAGATTCGTCAGATGAAGATCAAGAAAGTTCGGAACAAGAGATAGATCTCATGATGATGTTGGTAAAGACAAACCCACCAGAACTCAGAAAAACCATCCATCAGATAACATTATTGGAGATCTTTCAGATGGAATGAAAACCAGAAGGAGAATAAGAAATAATCTGACAGAAATATCTGGGTCTTACTGCTATACCTCAAAGATAGAACCCAAAAATGTCAAAGAAGCTCTACAGGATGATCTGTGGATCAATGCAATGCAGGAGGAGCTACATCAGTTTGAGCAGAATCATGTCTGGAATCTTGTACCAAGACCTCATGGTGTCAATGTAATAGGAACGAAGTGGATCTTTAAAAATAAAACTGATGAAGCAGGGAATATAGCCAGAAACAAAGCTCGGTTGGTGGCTCAAGGTTATACACAGATTGAAGGGGTTGACTATGACGAGACATTTGCTCCTGTAGCTAGACTTGAGTCAATCAGAATCTTGCTGGCTGTCGCTTGCATTTTGGGATTTACATTATATCAGATGGATGTCAAGACAGCGTTTCTGAATGGGTATCTCCATGAAGATATCTATGTGGCTCAACCTAAAGGTTTTGAAGATCCAGAACGTCCTTCTTATGTCTATAAGCTTCGAAAAGCTCTCTATGGCCTTAAACAAGCCCCACGGGCCTGGTATGAACGTCTGACACAGTATTTGCTCCAACACGGATATAAACGCAGAAGTGTTGACAAAACTCTGTTTGTCAAAACGACTGGAAGTCATGTAACCATAGCTCAACTCTATGTTGATGACATTGTGTTTGGATCAACCTTGCAGAAATACACTGATGAGTTGGTAAAAGTCATGGAGGAAGAGTTTGAAATGTCAATGGTTGGTCAACTGACATATTTCCTAGGCCTACAAGTCAAGCAAAGTTCTGAAGGATACTTTATTTCACAAGAAAAGTATGCTAAGAATCTTGTCAAAAAGTTTGATCTGGAATCATGTAAACCATCCAGAACACCGATCTCCACTTCTACAAAAGTATCGAAAGATGAAACTGGTATATCAGTGGATAACACAGTCTATCGTAGCTTGATAGGCAGTCTGTTGTATCTAACAGCCAGTCGACCAGACATAATGTTCAGTGTTGGAATCTGTGCAAGGTATCAATCTGACCCAAAGGAATCACATCTGATAGCGGCAAAACGCATTCTGAAATACGTGAAAGGAACGATACAATATAGACTCTGGTATTCCAAGGATAGTGAACTGAATCTGGTTGCATATTGTGATGCTGATTGGGCAGGGAATATTGATGATCGGAAAAGTACTTCTAGAGGATGCTTCTTTGCTGGGAAGAACTTAGTATCATGGTTAAGTAAGAAACAGAACTCTATCTCACTAAGCACTGCAGAGGCAGAATACATAGCCGCAGGTGGTTGCTGTACTCAGTTGGTTTGGATGAAACAGATGTTTCTGGATTTTGGTCTTACACAAGGAACAATGACACTCTTTTGTGACAATGTCAGTGCTATCAACATCTCCAAGAATCCTGTTCAACATTCCAGAACGAAGCATATTGACATCAGGCATCACTACATCAGAGACCTGGTTGAATCCAAGGAAATTGAGTTGGAATACATTCAGACTGACAAACAACTGGCGGACATTCTGACTAAGCCACTGGATGCAAATCGTTTTGAAATTCTCAGATCTGCTCTGGGAATTTGCAAAATTGACTGACTAAAGCAGTTGGTCCGTCAGAGAGGAGTTGGTTTATTACGGGTCAGTGTTATGACTTTGAATTTCCTTAAAGACTCCTCTCTTTTTATGTTAAGAAGATCATCTAAGCTTATTCTTCTCAGAAGATATCTTAAAAGATCTCAATGTTTTTTGAATTTCAAATATCCTTGGGTTCCGTTTCCTTCCTAAAAAGGAGATGTACCGTTGTGTCCATCAATCACTTCTGCATGATATTTTGACTTGCCGCATTAATTAGGGTTCATCACCCTTAAGCCTATATGATACCGGGTCTAGAAGAAAGAACTCACCTCAGCTCTCATCTCTCCATTTCCCGTGCTTATCTGCTCTCGGTGTTTTATTCTTCTCCTCGCACTTAATCTTAAATGGCGGACCCCGTAAGAAACATCATCATTAAGCTTGGAAGCAAGGTACACCCTCCGACGGCAGCCCTCAAACACATTCAGACGCTTCTACAGTTGGCTATGAAGAAGAAGCTCAAGCTTGATCCTCTGCTTCGCGACGAGATTCTAGTGACTGTTATGACCAACTATCCGGAGTTTTATGCTGAATGGTCGGCAGATGATGTAATTGAACTTCTTGTGTTGGTCGCCGAAGCCAGTGATGACGTCTCTCCAGTGTTTACTCCAGAACCCTCGGATGGAAATCGGGTCGGGGCATTCCTTCAATTTTTTGCTCAACGTGCCCTAGAATCTGTTGAAGAAGCTCGACGACGAGAGGAGTCCCAAGCTCTGTATCTTGAAGCTGCTCAGAGAGAAGCAACACACAGACAGGAGATTCTTCGATAACGGGTGGAGTCCCTGTTTACACTGCAACATCTTTAGGAGAAAGCCTGGAACATGTGCGACATTTTGCTGGGTTACCATCTGCTTCGATCCCTCAACCTTATCGAGTGATACACCCTTCAGAATCCTCCAGTGAAGATGATAAGATACTTGCTGAGGTGTATGGATCCCAAGCACCTTCTTCTGCTGCCCCTACTGTTGAGGCAACTGCTCATCCTGATTCTACGAATTTCAGAATTCGAGAGATATCAAATATTGTTGGGAGCTCATCTGCAAATGTTTCTGATTCTAGCCACTCTGTGACTCCAGTCCAGTCCCCATCCAGAGAAACCAGACGGACAAAAAGGAAGAATGTTCCAACGAAGGTTGTTGTTGAAACCAGTGCTGATAATGTTGATGTGGATCAGCCTGTGAAGAAGAGAAAGTCGAGTGAGACTGCTAAGCCTGAAGGAGACCTACCTATCCACCAAGTTTTCAAGACTCTACGTTCCTCTGTTAAGCAACAAGGAACTACTGCTGCTCAAGCTACTTCTGCACCAGCCCCCTCTGCCAGAAAAGGGAAACCTACCACAAGGTCAAGAGGTCGAAGTGTAACTCCGGAGGTTCCACCTATTGAAAGAATTGATACTACTGTTTACAAACCTCAGTTTGTATCCCCTGCTGCACAAACAAAATGGGCCACTATGGTTAGAAGGGAGCTGATTGTTCAAAGAACTGTGGATGAGAATCAACTGAACTCCGTTTGCGACATCCTGCCCTTGCTGAATGAAGTTAGTCTTTTGAAAACTGTTACAGATGTTTGCCCTTACTCCAAGCTGCTCACATATGAGTTCTATAGCAATCTCAGTGATGAGATTGACAGTCTCACAGGGCCACGACCGATGCAAATCTTCATCAGAGGGAAGTGGTATGATTTTGGGCCAGATGTGATAAATAAATACTATGGCTTGCCTACAGTGCAAGAAGAAGCTGTTACTGAATGGGACGGGTGGCCAAAACTCTTACCGGTGGACATACTACATCTTGGCCTACAGGAGATAAGGACTATTTGCTGAGCTCGCATCTCACGTCTAGATATGTCATCCTACATCGCCTGGCTCTGCACAACTGGCTTCCATCAGCTCATTTCAACACAGTTAGCAAGCTTCTGGCAGGGTTCTTATTTAGAATTGGAACTAAGATGAAGTGTGATCTGGGCAAATGGATTTTTTATCATGTTCTAACTCTGATTCATCCCCGGGAACAGAAGGTAAGATTACCGTTTCCAAATCTGATTTTTGGCATCCTTACCTCTCAGGGTCTTAAGCCTATGCCCAGCGAAGTGATCAGTCCGATGCTGCTATATACTGTTGATAAACGTCTTCTTTCTGGAGATTATATTAAGGATGTCGTTCCTGTGACTGCCCCATCCAATTCGGAACCTGATGCTGTGAATGATGAGTCTCCTCATGCTAAAGATGTGAAGCTTTCCGAACAATTGAAGACGCAAGTTACTGATCTTGAGACGGTGCACGGTATCATTGCCAAGCAACTGACGGGTGCGCGCATTGAACTAGCTACTGTTCTTCTCCGCATGAGCCTGTCTGATACTGCTGCTGCTGCTGAGGATCCCGTGAAGTCTGACTATGACTCTCCCTCAAATGCTTGATCTTTGGCTACCATTGGAAAAAAGGGGGAGTAGTAACTCAGGGGGAGTTTTTGTGATCGAGTACTTTCTGGCCCTGGCTGGGCGTTATGTTTTGATGTCGTTTTTTTTTTTAGACTGATTTGGATCTTATGTTCTTTTTATCCTATGTAATCAGTTTGGACACTTGGGTTGCTTCTTTTAATAACCTATCTTAGTTCTTTTTATATAGTTGAGTTGTTTTGCCAAATAATAGCCAAAGGAGGAGTTTGCTAGTGTTTTTATGTTCAAAAATCCCATATTATAATTGGCAATATTATTATGGCATACTAAGATAGGTTTAGAGTCTGTCCGATTGGGTCTACAGTTTACTAATCAAGCAGAAGCAACGACAGAAGAACTGACACTGAAGATCTGATTTAGGAAAGCTGTTTCCTTAAGAGTCTTACACGGTATTATCAGCCCAGTATGGAAAGACGATCAGCGTATCTTCAAAGAAGGTAATGGACCTAATCTGCTGAGATTACATTCCTCTTATATAATCCTACCTTCTACAATCAAAGATATTTTTATGGAGAGTGTTTATTGAAGGATCTATAAGTACCAGTTCTTTAAGGGAACTAGGGTTACGCCAAATAAGAAGAAGAAACACTCCATATCAGCTTGATGAGTATAGATCTTTGATGGTCATGCACCTTCTCAATACAACATGTTCACGGTGATTAAGATGATGAACTTGAGAAGAGTTACTGCTGCTTAAACAAAAGGACACTAAGATCACACTGTTGTGGGAACAACCTTATAGAGCGTCACTGAAGTGGACTGCATCAGAGCTGGCTCTCCAAGTGAAGGGATTTCATTGGACTTCTGTATGCATGGCTCTCCATCTTCAACAATCCACTAAACCTATGTAGACTGGGTATGTACCTTGTGTGGGGCACTTGGGTAAGATTATTGTATATCTACCTTTGTACATTGGATTATGACTTAGTGGATTGGACGCCTATGTGATCGTCCCCCAGACGTAGATACACACCGTATCGAACTGGGTAACCATTGTGAGTGTTCGTTCTGTGTGTTTGTTTATTTTTCTCTGATGTTCTCTTCATGATCTATCATTACTAAGTAGGTGCTTAACTGAATCAATCAGTATTCTAAGTCAGCAAACTATTTCTGATATTTTACGTAAAATGAGGAAATGCAAAATTACAATAATAATAATAATAATAATAATAATAATAATAATAATAATAATAATAATAATAATAATAATAAGAATAAGAATAAGTACCTTTGAGGGGGAACAGATCCAGTCATTGTAGAGTAAGGACCAAGGTACTGGAACATAAATGGTTGCATTAGGGATGTGTTAATTTGCTGCCCCTACATATATTTCAGATGTGGAGTTAAAATAATTAAAAACAAAAAAATAAATTAGTACATAAAATATATATCATCCAAAATAAATGACTTCATATGTTCTTATCGACAAAAATATAATTGGAAAATCTATTTCATATATGTTACATAAATATTTATTGGAAGTGTCAAATGAGTTTTATTTAACAGTTATACATACAATAGGAGACAAGCCTGGTGGAGTATCCCTTGGTGGCATTGTTGAATGCTTAAAATTTCAAAAATAAAAATAAAAACGGTTAAAAATAATTTTATAAAACTAAGAGCAAATAATAATATGAAGCAGGAAAAAATATACCGTCAGTGAAGCCGTTGTGTTTATAGTAACGTTACTTGATTCTTCACTCAAAGAGCTCAACGAAGTCCTAGAATTCAAAATAAAATCCAATATATTCTGTTACCTACAATTTTACTAAAAATTTGTAAATAATAATAATAATAATAATAATAATAATAATAATAATAATAATAATAATAATAATAATAATAATAATAATACGATAGATTACCTTGGAGGGGGAACAGATCCAGTCATTATAGAGTAACGATCAAGGTACTGGAACATAAATGGTCGCATTGGGGTTGTGTTAATTTGCTGCCCCTACTTGGGGAGCAACTGGGGAGAATGCATTACTTTTAAAAATATTTAATACTTACATGGATGAGAGATAGAGTGGAAAGAGAAATTTGGGAAGCTTCTGCAAATATGGGGAGAATGGCAGCATGGAGGAACCAAACGTGATAGACAACCGTGGTTGTCATGCGTGCACTGAGCGGGCGCGTGCTGTGCACTCGCTTGCTGGTGCGTGACTATCATTATTATTATTATTATTATTATTATTATTATTATTATTATTATTATTATTATTATTATTATTATTATTATATATATATATATATATATATATATATATATATATATATATATATATATTATTTTAAAATCAGTTTTGTTTTTTTTTTTCTCTCCCCTCCCACATTCTTTTTCCTAGTCACTCTTACATTCTCACCACATTCTCCTCAACTGATAATTTTGCACTAAGGGCTAACCAAATAACATTTATTAATAACCCAACAAGGTAATTCAAATGGCAAATGTGCTCTCTTTGTGATGGAGAATTTTTGGATAATGTGGGTTTGATTCCCACAAGTGACGATTCCCTTTGGGCTAGCTTTTGTGGTTCTTGGAGCAAACCAGGTGGACCTGGACCGTTAAACGGACAGAGAAAGACTCGGACCATATTGTGGTTTACAAAAAAAAAATAACATTTGTTAATTTTTTTTTTTTTTTACATTACACAAAAATTTAGGATGAATAATATTACACAACATGTTATTATTATATTTCAAAAATACAGAGTAATTCTCAATTTAATAAATTTCGTCGTGATGTCGCTTATAATTATTATGTGTTCATAAATTAGCTTTCTCCATCAAATTGTAATAAATGACTAAAGTATTACATTAAATAGTGACATATCATAAGACAAAATTAAGAGGAATTTTTTTAGACAGATGAGTAGTATTATTATTTCCATCAAACGTGATGAGTAGCCATTTTAAAATCCAGGCAAACATCGATTGTGTCGCCAATAGTTAGAAAAAAAACATCATCGTCCAAGTTTATCTACAACTTTAGCTCTCTTTAATTTTTCAATCACATTTCACCTAGGCCCGGCGATAGCTACTGCAATAATAAAAATTATTAATTAGTTGCATTAATATGTAATAATATTTTATCTCACCTAGGCCCGGCAATAGCTACTGCAGTTTTTTATTTTTCCTTTTCTTTTTTTTTTTTTTCCCTTTTCACTCATTTATCTTTCCTAATCACACCTCCAAAAACTCCTCAAAAACTACACCAAGATCTTCACTATTTATGATGCCTTAAAAGTCATGCTAAATTACCAATCAATGTCAAGTTGACCCCACAATTCTATACCATCAATTCAAGTAACTCAAGAATTATGTAAGAGCATCCACACAAAGGAAGAAACTACGGAGAATGCATTACTTTTAAAAATATTTAATGCATACATGGATGAGATATAGAATGGAGAGAGAAATTTGGGAAGCTTCTGCAAATATGGGGAGAATGGCAGCATGGTGGGTCCTAGCAAAAAAGGAACAAACGTGACAGCCAATTGTCGCTGTCATGAGTGCACCAAGCGGGCGCGTGCAGTGCACTACCCCTACATATATTTCAGATGTAGAGTTTAAATAATTAAAAAGAAAAAAGATAAATGAGTACATAAAATATATATCATCCAAAATTGATGAATTCATATGTTCTTATCGACATAAATATAATTGGAAAATCTATTTCATATATGTTACATAATTATTTATTGGAAGTGTCAAATGAGTTTTATTTAACAGTTATATATACAATAGGAGACAAGCCTGGTGGACAATCCCTTGGTGGCATTGTTGAATGCTTAAAATTTCAAAAATAAAAATAAAAACGGTTAAAAATAATTTTATAAAACTAAGAGCAAATAATAATATGAAGCAGGAAAAAATATACCATCAGTAAAGCCGTTGTGTTTATAGTAACGTTACTTGATTCTTCACTCAAAGAGCTCAACGAAGTACTAGAATTCAAAATAAAATCCAATATTTTCTGTTACCGACAATTTTACTAAAAATTTGTAAATAATAATAATAATAATAATAATAATAATAATAATAATAATAATAATAATAATAATAATTATAATAATAATAATAATAATAATAATAATAATAATAATAATACGATAGATTACCTGGGAGGGGGAACAGATCCAGTCATTATAGAGTAACGATCAAGGTACTGGAACATAAATGGTCGCATTGGGGTTGTGTTAAGTTGCTGCCCCTACTTGGGGATAAAAATATTTAATGCTTTCATGGATGAGAGATAGAGTGGAGAGAGAAATTTGGGAAGCTTCTGCAAAGATGTGGAGAATGGCAGCATGGTGGGACCTAGCAAAAAAGGAACCAAACGTGATAGACAACCGTGGTTGTCATGCGTGCACCGAGCGGGCGCGTGCAGTGCACTCGCTTGCTGGCGCGTGACTATCATTATTATTATTATTATTATTATTATTATTATTATTATTATTATTATTATTATTATTATTATTATTATATATGTATATATATATATGTATGTATATATATATATGTATGTATGTATATATATTATTTTAAAATCAGTTTTGTTTTTTTTTTTCTCCCCTCCCACATTCTTTTTCCTAATCACTCTTACATTCTCACCACATTCTCCTCAACTGATAATTTTGCTCTAAGGGCTAACCAAATAACATTTATTAATAACCCAACAAGGTAGCTCAAGTGGCAAATAAGCTCTCTTTGTGGTGGAGAATTTTAGGATAACGTGGTTTTGATTCCCACAAGTGACGATTCCCTTTGGGCTATCTTGGAGCGAACCAGGTGGACCTGGACCGTTAAATGGACAGAGAAAGACTCGGACCATATTGTGGTTTACAAAAAAAAAATAACATTTATTAATTTTTTTTTCAATACACTAAAATTTAGGGTGAATAATACTACACGAAATGTTATCATCATATTTCAAAAATACGGAGTAATTCTCTCTC